CCTTGTTCCTTAATCCTCGCAATCCCTGCACACCTCTCTGACACTATAATCCCCTTCTTTTGTCCCTTATTTATCTTAATTTCAGGAACTAGAAGGAGATGGAAAGAGAGGAGTCAAGATCCTACCTTTTATTTACTGCTCACAAAAGCTAACGAAACGAAAAGAAAGACACATAGAGGAACAAAAAATTGAGGCTCTTGAGCTGCGAGATATCATTTGGATAACATCTTTTTGATGGGATTTTCCTTCATTTCTTGTTATTCACTTCAGTATATCCAAGAACTTAATTTTGCTTGCCGCATTTTCAGCCTTTGTTGATGTTTTCTGTCTTTTCAAATAGCTCTCTGTTCTCCCCCTTACTGATTACCTACACATACACCGTTTTACTTTTATTTATGGTGCCGGTTTCCTTATTTTCCTCCCGTTAATTTTATATACCTCGGGCTTGGAAAGGATTGTGAGGCTTTATTGTTTTCCTTATTGTCTTTTGCTCCGTTGCCTCCTGTTTTCTTTATTGGTTTTTTTAACCTCCATTATCAGGCTATAAGTTTCCTCATTTTTCTTCCCTTAACCTCATCCTACTTTCTTTGCTGCCGGGTTTCTCTCTCTCTTTCTCTCTCAAAATTCTTTTTGGGGATTTCTTCTTCGTTTCTTCCTTGTTTGATTCCTACATTCCGAATTGCCTAGGTGTGTACTGCCTTTTTCCCCTTTTCCTTCTTTCTTCTATAGCCATTGATCCTCATGTACTCCTGATATTTCCTCCTAGGTCCTGTTCTTAACCCCACGTTCTATTTTCCATTATGTTTTCCTTATCTCCACCTATCATTTTATATCTCACGTTTCTTGTATTTTCTTTTTTCATGGTGCTCTTTTTGTTCTATTTTATAATGGCCTGCAAGTGCAAACCCCACGGATTCTAAGTACCGGACCAATTGAATGCATTTTTTGTATGGGGTTTCTTACCATTTCGTTATATATGTATGATCGCACACAACAGAAAATTTGAGAGGGGACCAGAGTGGTTTCATTTCGTTTGATGGTATGTTTTGGGTATGGCAATGCCACTGAGAAAGGATTGGTGGGAAAGCGTTGATGTATGTCAATCTTGTTTTGATTTTAATTTTGTCTTCAACAATTTTTCCAAGGTTAATTCCTTCACGTATATGTTAGGTTTATCATCACAAATAGGCTAATATTTCAGAGTTGTCGGAGCCGTCAAGCGTCCAGATTATTGTTGAAATATTACCTCTGTATCACCGATTCATTCCTCGCTTCCGACAACTGGCTAGGCAAACGGGAATTACCCGAGGGCAACACTCTTGCAGGGCCTTCCGCCCGTTGATACAAATGCATCAATCGTGTCATTTTCAATCTTCCCATTTCATCGTGGTAATCTACTACATATAACCAAGCTCTAATCTGTAATTATATCCTCATTTCCTCCTGTGGATAGTTTCTTATATACCTAGCGTCGTGGCGTAATATTATGGGACGTCGGAATCCAACAAATACAAATACCAAAATCGGCGATCTCGATGTTGGACCTGAAAGTTGCTATCATGTGCAAGCTCCGGGATGTCTAGCTGAAATCTAAATTTCTCTTGTCCTTCCGCAGAATCGCAATCCTGTTATAACAAAATATACATACACATATATATATACATACAAACGCCAATGTTGATCTATCCATGTATTGCTATTTCTATGGGATATGTTTATATGGCGAAAGAGGTACCGTTTGAGCAGTGGAGCGAATAAGATATAGTAAGTGTTCAACCTCTTTCTGCTGTTTTGTTTTCACAATCCATGCCTCCCCTCACAGATCTGTCCTCTCCACAAAATTAACAGGTGCTATAGGTGTCCCTGTAGATAAACACGCCTTGATATTTTCAAAGCATTCCCTCTCAGACAGGCTGAATGCGCCATCCGTCAGACCTCCCATATGAGGTTGTAATATCACTTTATCGCTGGTGATGTAATAGGGACTATCAAAATTCAAAAGGGGGGTGTAAGTCAAGTCTTTCTCCTTTCGCATTTATTAAAATCAGAAAACAAAAAAAAGACATACTTTATCTCCGGCTCGTTGGGAAACACATCTAGACCCGCCATCTTCACCTTACCCAATTCCAGCGCCTCGATAAGCGCATCTTCGTCGACTATCTTTCCACGGGCAGTGTTCACGAAATAGGCGCCGTCTTTCATCTTGGCAAACTCATTGCAACCAATCAGGCCTCTGGTGGCGGCGTTTAGGGGGCTGTTTATAGACACGATATCGGAGGTAGACAGGAGCTCATCGAGCGTGGAGCAGTAGGTGGCTGAGTATTGAGCTTCGACGTCGGCTGGGAGCCGGGTGCGGTTGTAGTATTTGATTTTCATGTTGAAGATGAGGGCTTTGCGGGCGAGGTGCTGGTGACGTCTGCTATTAGCGGTTTTATTCATGTCATTGTATCCTATCTAATGTCCAGGTATTTATGACAGAACTTGACCAATATCTAGCCCCATTTTTCGTGCCCAAGTTGAGCTTCCGTTGCAATATAGTGACCAAGCGTACATACGTCTAATACCCACGAAATGAAAAAATAACTCATGGCCATAGAGCCATTGAGCAAGGGAAGGGCACACAATCTGAACAGAGGAATCCGAATCCAAAAACACGCCCAAAGAGGCCGTCTTACATACCTTCCCGATATTCCCCATGCCCACAATCCCCAAAGTCATCCCTCTCGGATCCCTCGTTGGCACAAGCCCGTTTCTCCAATTCCCCCCTCTAGCTGACTTTTCTGCCACTGTCGTGTTTTTTAGGAGAGCCAATATCAAAAACATGCTCATATCTGCAGTAGCCTCCGACACGGCATTTCGTGAATTGCAGAACCAGATCTTGTTGCGCGTCATCCAATCGACGTCGAACTCGTTGTAGCCTGCAGAGCAAGAGGCTATGACCTTGCAATGCGGGACAAGGGCGCCAAAGAGGGCCTCATCGAATGGCTCAAAGGGCAATGTTCCCATGCGCACCATCACGGCGTCAAAGGGGCCGTGGCGCTTGACGAGATCCGCGATTTCTGGGATAGCACCAGCTCGACTAGGGGAGGTGAGGACCTGAGGTAGGGGTGTTAATTATGGATTTGTTATTGTGGTTGGAGATTTTGAAGGGGAGGGGAGGGGAGGGGAGGGGAGGGGGTTACGCAGAGCTCATATTTTGATTTGAAATCAGCGAGATATTCCTCGTCCGTGTACGCGGGAGAGCTGAGCGCAAGAACTCTTGGCTTTGCTCCTCGTGCAGATGATGACATATTCGATACGGATCGGCTTGGTTGCTGGATCTGCTTTGTATCTTAATTCCGGAAGATCTCTGCCGATGGAAGAGTTGTCGACCCGCCCCGAAATTGCGTGTGTGTATATATTCGGGAAACTTTTGAAGATACTTAGTTCATTCTAGGATTCCAATCCGTCTGTTGGATCATTAGTTAATAAACTGGATAACCCCGAGTGGATAGCATGATTCCGCAAGAGGGTTCGAACCAGTCAAATCTCCGATGCAATGTTAAACACAACAGGAGCCGAATTCACGGCCGAAATCGATCCTGTAAGTCCGAATTTACTCGATCCTTGTGGGGACCGGGGAAAGGCTTGGTGCCGATCCAACATACGTTTAGGCTTTCCATTCAGGAATGGTATTTATTCTACATTAAACCTTGTGGAAGAAGGATGATACGCTGTATACAACTAGGTTACACTCACCGATCCTTCAAATATCCACAATACATCTACAAGTTACAATCTCACAAGTTTCTCATACAGCTATCCCGTTCGAAATAAGAGCAGACAAATCAAAAGTCAAATGAACGCAATCAACAAACCAATCATTCAGTATGTCTGCAATCATTGCCACAGAAGAAGCGGATCGACCTCCTCAACAAGCAGTCAAATTCTGGCAAACCCGCTCATCATTCTCTCCATGATGATCACCACCCTTGAAAGCGACGAGGAAGAGCAGAATCATGTGGCCGTTGCCTTTCTCATCTTTGCAAAGTTGGGGTTCGCCGAATGGTGAATATGAATGATATCATCGTTTTATCGGTTTATTTTTATTTTCTCTACAATTTATTTTCTCTACAAGCTCTGCAATGTAGATACAGAACCGTGATGCCGTTTCGAACTCCGAGAGCTATAATTTTCCTACAGGGCGTGCCATTCCATATACTAGAAACAAAGGGTGAAGAGGATCTGTCGACTCCGGTCACATCAACTGCGAGATAAATTGGCATATGTCCCCTCCACAATGCTTCTAAACCTGCCAATCAGAAGTTCTATATATACAGATTCCATCAACCAGGAAGGTTTCTGGGTCATCTTAACTTCGCTTCCACCCCGTTTCCCTCGTGCCGTGACTGCAGAAACCATCTCCGCCGATAGACCTATCTGAAACAGAGAAGGACACGCGCTCACATTGCGGCTTTCCTCCCACATAATAATAGATCCGTTACGCCAAGCACTTCGGATGTATCACTGTCGCGGATCTTATACCGGTGAACCGCGATGGAGATCCTCTCACGGCAATTGAGCATAAAGCAAACACGGGCGGAATTCATTCTCCATCCCTTAATTCACAGGGCATGACCGAACCTTAATGCGGCTTGCCACATGCATTCGCCCTATAGCAGAGCCTGCTCGACCTTTGGCAGAGGGCTTGAGATGTTGAACCAAGACAGGTCTGCCAACTTGGGAATTTCCTTGAGCTGCCTCGTTATTTTTTTATTATATATATATATATATATATATATATATATTATATTTTTTTCCTTTCTTTTCTTTTTCCATGTTGTGGAGTGCAGCCTGAAACAACCGAGTGATTGCTTGGTACCCCTGTCCCAGCGTGTTCCATATTTGTTCGAGAACATCCCTCACTCTACACCTGAAGGTGAACCTTGTTCACGGACACCTGAAAGTAACTTCACTGGAGTAATTTCACATTGAATTGACTATGGTTCACAGATCCCCGCATGTTTTATGATCACCTGGCGGCATACCAGGGCTTTGGAGGGATCGTTCCAGCAAAAGACGAGGGTGAGAATATTGCTCGTGCTTTAGGGCTGAAGAAAAAGTAACCTTTTTCTCCAGTATCACGAGTTAGTGTGTTCCACCATATCCTCACTAATCTACCAGAAGTCCTTTCCATCGCTGTTGGCCTGTTGCCACCTATGGTTTGTGAAAAGCGAGTTTGCACCACAACAATTCCAGAAGAAGCGTCGAATAGGATATGTCCACATCTGCAGACTCATCACAGTCGGCTCGTCTATCGTTGAGGCAGCAGCCCTTTTCATTGCATTGGAACGGTCTTGTCAAGCTCAGCTGTTGGTTGAACACGCCCACTGCCCATACACCGGGACTCCAGAAGAAGTATGTTGGGGATGGAGGAGCTGCGTATACCAAGAGAACGTCAGAATGCCCAGCAGCGATGTACATGCAATTGGTCCCAGAATATGAGTTGATTTTCAAGGAGACGAAAGGCGAGTTTACTCAATGAAAATTAATATTGAAAGTGGGATTAGCGAGGTGATCCTTATCATGGAGGGGAAATTGTGTTACAATGATATGAGAACATTCATACTCTCGTACTTGTTTGCTGTACATTTTCTTTATTTTTTCAATGTCGGGTACGTGTGACAAGGTGGCAGCATGGAGGTCATTTAAATGAAGGGTCTACACTTTAGGGTAAAGCAATGCTATTTCGGCATACCCTCACATCCGTATGTGATCTCCCTGTCTCTGGAATAGTTGCTGTGTTTAATGGCAGCAGCAGTTTGCTATGATTTCTTGCTCGCCATGAAGCTCTTTATGCAAGATTAACTTGTTACCCACTACTTCGGCTGAGAAAACACAACGGCGGGCATTGCACAGCGGTCGTCACCTGGAAAACTGGGGGATACTACCGGGTGGTTTGGGATCTGTCGCGTCGTAGAGAGGTATACTTGTGAAATATACATACCCAAAGAAATATGTCAATGAACAAACACCACTGATCTCATTGGTATGATTCCCAAAAATGAAAGCCGTAAAAACCGCTGACATCTTTTGAGATTGCAGGTTAGTTATGTTGCTCCAAGCTCATTATTTTAATTTTCTCATTCACGAGGAGGGAAAATTGTCTGCCAGTAGTTGACATATCCAACTATCGGTATTTGACATACCATTGAACATATGCAGCGGGATATTGATTCGCATTTTTTCTTCCACAATTCGGTCCCGCCCGTTCTTGTCCGGAGAAGAAAGACACAGTTCTCTGGCTTTTACCCAACCTACGGGCACGATAGGAGTTTAGTGTGCCAAAAAAAAAAAAAAAAAAAAAAAAAAAAAAAAAAAAGGAAAGGAAAGAAAAAAAGAAAAAAGTAAAAAGACCTGGATTATTTGACCAAGGTGCCACGTGGAAGAAGCCAGTCCACCTAGATTTAGCGGGATCTTCAAAACAATCCAGTCGGATGAAATATTGTGCTGATTACATTTTTTGGCTTTTCATGAGAGACTAGTTCCAGGTCCCCGATCTCACAGGGATAGCCAAGATGATTTTACTCCCTCATTCTTGTTGGTGCCCACGTCAACATGTAATTTGCCCAATATTAATATATCTCAGCCTGCTATGATATGGGAAGGAGGGTTTTGCGTGTGGTGGCACCGAATATACTCCCACATGTTGCAGTTAAAGACGAAACATAGACCGTATGAAGGGGAGAATCTTCTGTACCCCCGGGCGATTGGTAACCCCAATAACACTGGAGAGATCAACTCTATTGCATGATACACTGACGAGTTGGTTGGCACAGTTCGGGGGAACCAGGACTCAAAAGCATCAATTTCACGCAAAGTGAATTTTGGAAGGGCCTTTGCAGGCTCAGTGTCCTTCGGGATAATGGATGAAAACGCGGGCCACGAATCGCAGAAATGATGATTGATGTCAATTTTCTCAATCTGATTTTGTTGGCACGGCCTGAGCAGTAAGGTCGGATATGAAGTCGATCGACCACAGGAGATCATTGCCCTAGTCTCGTCCATTGGTATAGTTGGCTTCCTTGGCAGGAATCAGCCCCTTTTCTATTTCAGCCATTCCGAGTCCCCAGTCATGTCTTACCATGGAACTTCGGAGCCTGGAGGAGACAACCCGAAAAGGCGGACACATGGCATCCAAACCTAGTTCAACGTCAAAAACCATGTTCATCCGTCACTGGTGTTTCAACAATGGGGTCAAAATAGCAATCAACTTCAAACTGGCAGAGTTGCAGGCATCTGGATTGTGCAGTCCCCCGGGCAGCAGATGATGGTTGCGTAGGCCTGCTGTTACCATTAGCTATTTTTGAGTCAACTCTTTGAGGATTGTACAGAATAGCACATGTGGAGTTCCGAAAGTCAGAAGTCGAAATCGAAGTTGAAGGCGTAGATGGATGTTCTCCGTAACCCGTACGGATAGTTTTTTTTTTTTTTGAAATAAATTCTTTTGCTGAGGGAAACGAAAGGTTGTCACGAGACCGGCTGATTCATCCGTCAACACCCAAAGACGTCTCATCTCATCTAATTACTGCGAATACCAATCAAAAAATTCCCCACTCAACGGTGATTTTGTGGGATTGCTCAATTTAGCTGTGGAGTTTTCTTTATTAACGGCCCAACTTGTTCAATGACTGTGGATTGGTTTAATGACTTCTCGCTAGATTCCTCATCCACGCAGTCAATTGTATACCGCCGCAGGTCGGTTTGTTCTTGGTGACAGCCAGCTGGTCCAGGCCACTCATCATCTGTCGCAATTCGATTTCATAGTGTCTGGTCTAAAAGCTGTGATCTGCGCCGTTCATCCTGCTAGTTTAACAAAAAATATAAAAGGATCACCATATCTGAGTGGGCTACACATCGATGGGTCCATAATAACACTACTCACTTAGCCAATCCACATGTCCCACATGCGCCGGCTTTCACGATTGTCCTTTGCTTAAGGCTCAAGGCTGAAACAGGATCTGCGCCTCACGCCGCACAACAGTCTCTTTGCGTTTTGGGAAAATTGGTTACACCGCCGTTCCCTGTCCCTGTCCCTATTCCTTGCTCTTATTAACCTCCACCAACCTCTGACTGCATTCCGTCAACAAGGAACATTCCGTCTTCAGTGATCCATCGCCTATCTGCTTACCGCCTGGGTGGACTGTAACGAGGGTGCGCCATTACGAAATCTTTACGCGCTACCGCATCCAGACCAAGGAGTTAACTCACTGCTATATATAAGTCTGACAGGTCCCAGCCGCCCGAGTCGCGCTTTTGTTCCATTTCACAATGTCTTTTGCCCAGGACGAAGCAGATCGTCTCCTCAACCACAAAGAAAAGGTCTCCTGCCACCCAGAAGACCATCGCGCTTCGGATAACGATTCTAATTTGTCCTTTTCTGACGTCGAAAGTCTGACATACGTACACTCCGATACGGAGACTGACACCTCCCACACCATGATTTCAAAAGATGCAGGTTATCATCTTCCCACCACCGTCTTCGAAGCGAACACTGGGCCCAAGGGGGTGATTGCAGATGCTCAGTCGTACGAAAGGGCAAAGAAACGCTCATTCCGTCGCACTATTATGAGTGTTACTGGCCTTGACAATACCTCCTATCCCGCCTCGACGAAAGAACAAGGTGACGCCCGACTGTCCAAAGAGACATCGCCGTTGCCAGATGAAACCGAAGACGAACAGTTCATGCGCAAATGGCGAGAAGCTCGTATGCTGGAACTACAGCGCAAGAGCAAGAGACGTGTCAGCCCTAGTAAGCGGAGATATGGGACAGTTGAAGCGGTTAATGCAAACGGGTACCTGGACGCCATTGAGATGGTGACCCCAGATGCTGTCGTCGTTGTCTGTATATACGACCCTGAGGTCAGTTCGCTTCTCTTTTGCATATTTCGGGAAGAAGTTACAAAATATCTAATCTTCTTTTAACATTAGTCTCCCGAAAGCAACATTGTCGAAGATTACCTCACCACCATTGCTCGCAAACACGCAACAACACGATTCATAAAATTACATTATGAGATAGCAGAGATGGGACATGTCACTCCACCAGCCTTACTGGCATACAGAAACGGTGATGTGTTTTCGACAATAGTGGATATTTTCCATCAACTCCCCAGTGGACGAGATTGCAGTGCTTCAAGTTTAGAAGATCTCCTTATGCAGTACGTATCTCTCTTTCTCGTTTACTTCCTGTGCACGATATTGCCAAATCAAAGTCCAAACATCTTGTCTGACTGTTCTTTCATGTTTTCAGGCATCGAATTGTTTGATCGATTCGACCATCCTCCCTTCGACGCGCTTCTCATTTGTCACGCTATACCCACTTTCCCCCCCTCTCAGAATAACTCCTTCGATGTCACGATATAATGAAACTCCATTTTGGTTACACAACACAGATTACCCCCGGGAAAAGTCAATGAATTGGCGCTAATGGCGCATACGTCATCTTGTTCCGTCATTTTTTATCCGTTTAAAACATTATCCTCAAGAAAAACTTGCGGGGCCTTTCCCTTATCCTGATGGAAATTTGGCTTTTGTTTCGTATAGGAACTTTTGTTCTATCCTCAGACATAACAAAGGACAGGATATCTTTGCCATTTCATGTGTTTTTGCTTTTACCTGTGTTGGGTCTAAAACCGTCTCGTTCCTGGCCTGAAAAACGCCCTCTCCACTTGTCCAGTCCCACCCGAAGTTTTCTTATCACCAGTAGTGATGGGTGTTTCCAACTCCACTAGTTGTTTGCCCTTGTCTCAGCTTACTTCTTATAATTTTTTGCATGCACACAACTGCTTTGTAATAGTAATCCGTCGGCGCGCGTTTTTTTCTTTGTTGACTTTTTGATGTGCATGTCGGTTTTCGTATTTACCTGTTGATATCCTCTCATAACCATGGACTTTTGTTTTGCCCGGCAGTTTGTTGGAAGTGGATTTAAATTTTCTGACTTTCTCTCTTCCGTTTGTTTCTCTATGGCTGGTCAGATAGAATTTTCCATTATGAATAAGTATTCTATGTGCATTTAGGATTTATGGAGAAGGGGAAACATTCTTACTATTTTATCTTTAAATGATGGTGAGGGACGCAGATGCAATTCGTCGATTTACCTTAACTCTTACTCCGCTCCTTTCCGTTTGACGCTCTCCGATACATACATTACATACATACGTGAACATGTATTGAAGTCAAATTGGCACTCAGCTCGGGTAAATAAGGCCAATGGGTGCCTTTAACGTAGGCTGTAAGGCGTATGCATTCTAGGCACCGTGGACATGGGGAAGAATGATATCGTGGTTTAAGCGCAGAACTGAAATAGAAGACGATCATTAAGCTTTGCATCTAAGGATCTCAATCAAGAATCCAAATTCTCTCATAACAAATAGGCGCGATGGCGGAGTGGTTAACGCGAGAGACTAGAATGTGACGTGTGTCAAAGCTAATCTCTTCTCTTCGGAGGCGTAGGTTCGAATCCTGCTCGCGTCGGTCAATTTACATTTTAATTTTAATTTTTTTTGTCTTTCTTCCTGCTTTCTATGCTGTTTTTTCTCTCTTCATCGATATCCCCACCTTTTTTGCTGAATTCCTCTTGTGCACTCAACTTCAAGGATCGGAACCTAATGTTTTAAGCTCAAATCTCCGACAGCCGGAGGAAGGTTGCATACCTGGGTGCATGCATTCCAAGCTTACGTTCGGGAATATCCTCAGTAGGTTAGAATGACCCTGCATCAAGTCTAGGGTTTTGGGAGCGGGCAAAGTATGTGCGGGCATCCCTCGTCAACGCAATGGCATTTGGTGGACGATCGATAAATGAAACCTTAGTCAAATAAACCACGGCTACATTGAACAGGTCCCTGTCCAGGATCAAAGCGCCAATTTTCTTGGAATCATTCCGCTGGGGATTGAAATTAGAAACAAGCTGACTGCCTACAGCGGCGACTGCATTTTGGAGTCACCATTAAGGTAGCGGGTAATCACAGTGATTCTGATCGCAGAATAGATAGCATATTCTAACAAAAGCAAATCACTAGTACGAAGACGTCTCCCGTCTCACTAACCTCCGGTTGGGTATGGTGTGCAAGGAAATATATAGACTCTCACAATAGTAGATAATATCATTTATCTATATGATGAAGGTGTCTTGCTGGCAAGATTGAATAAAATCAGCTCTCGGCATTTCCATTTGTGATCCTAGAGAATGAGTGATGGGCTTAGCCAGATTCATTAACGCGTCGCTTTGTTGACTGAATCTCCCCCCTTCTTTTCTCTCTCCAGGTGCTATTTTCTTTGGATCAAGCAGTAAGTTAACCTCAGCCACATTCTCCATCCTGTGAAGAAAATGGACACTAAAGTGAATAGAATATTCCATTCCCTTTATTCATATAGAGAATAATCACCTGCAGAGATGAAGATACAACTAATAAAAACCAACTGCCGTGACAGAAATGACTGGCTATGGGAACATGATTCAAGGGCCCCAGTCATTTTAAGAGGAAACTAGGAAACATAGGAAAACGCCACAATCAGGGCAAACAAGATTAACGCGGATAAATTTTCGTCACTTGCACCAAAAAAGGAAAATTATAAAACTGAATACTGGATATGAAGTAGGTGAGCAGTAACATATATAAGGAAACAATCGAAGCAAAAAACGCGGCAAGAAAAGGGGGAAGAATGGCATAATTTACAACCTAAAGGATATGACAATATAGCGTTGAAATATTTTGGGACATGCGTAATTGAATTCATTCGTTATCCGTTTACACGGAAAGAAAACCAGTGGAAAAGAGCAACGAAAAGAAGGAGAGCAACAAGAAAAGGGGGTGTATTCCTTGTCAGCCCTCGTGCTCATACAACTCCTTTTTCCTGTGTGAATTCCCAGAGCATCTTAATCAGGCTATCGGGGAGTGTGTATAGATCAACGTGAAATTCGCCCTCTGTAGAAATCAAGCAGTTAGCAATAAATAAATAAATAAATAAATAAATAAATAAATAAAGATAAATGAAAAAAACATTGGAGGCAGCTAAACATGGAACGCACGCTCAATATCATTTTTCGTATATGAATCAGTGGATTTGTTATCGTGGACCATCTGCACGACTTGGAGAAGGTCATCTTCCCCGAGCTTCTGCAGCCCATCTGCCAGTTTATCCATGTCGATCTATTAAACATTTGGGGTAAGTATTATTCAGAAAAGAGGCTTCTCCCGCTCGAAAATCGCTCTGTTTGAGAAGGCATCGAAAGATAGCATACATTCTTGTCAATCCGTTTCTTCTTCTTTGAGCCTTCATCCTGCGTACCTCCACGTTTCGACTTGACGCCATTTTCGTCACCGGGCACTGGACCAGATTCGCGAAGGAGATTTAGGAGAACTGGTTTGGGGTTTTTGAAGGTCTGTCGTAGGGTTTTAAAAGAAAGTATATTAATTAGCCTGGTTAGGAAAGCTCCCAAAACAGAACAGTGTATAAACGAGACGAGGGAGGTCGTCACCGAGAAGAAAATTACTCACAAGAACGTGTTTCGATTCGTATTTATTTTGCTGAAAATGAAGGTCATGGTTGACCACATAGTCTTTGTCCAGCACTGTAAACCCGATTTGCATATCAAATTCACCCCATCCTTCTTCATCGATTCTGAACGGTGGAGATTTGAAAGCTGGATTTGACATGATCAGCAAAACCACGCAACGGCGATAAACAAAGATGTAATGCAAACAGCACATACTCTGAATAGCTCTAGGTCCAAAACTCGGGTGAAGCGTATAGGTAACCTTGTCGAACATGGCCGCAGGAATCTCCTCGCCATGCTCGTTCAGCAGGTAAACCTCAATTGACCATTTTCGAAGTGGCAATTCCACATCCGACGCTGTCTCCCCTTCCCTGTAGATGAAACGACATATGTAAGCATTCAAGCTGCCATTTCATGTATATTGTAAATATGTATCCCTGTATGTGGCCTCTGGCTCCACATCCATATAGATATATAGAAACATATGCTGTATATGAATAGAAATGGGACACGGGGTTTCAAGCAATGAGCATTCGCGCCATGTTTTGTCCGGTCCCTACACACGCACGTAGCTATTCGCGAGCCAATACGCCTGCAAAAGGAGCAGAGAGGATATAGAAGTTCCTTGGCCATGAGAGAGAAGACATGTAATAAGAACAGTCTGGTGAGGACCGACAGGGATAGAAGGATGTGGTGGTGGTGGAGGGGGAAAAGGGATCGGGAAGGACGAACTTGAGATTCTGCTTCGTAATAAGCTTGACGGTGCGTTTAACCTATATAACCAAGTTAGAGGAGAAAAGCAAATTAGTTCGAAAGTCTCATTACGAAGCATCCCGAGTGTTAGGAGGTACATTGGAGGAAATCGACAGCGCTTTCTGTGGCATTCATGCGATTCTGGCAAGGTTCTATCCCACAACACAACGAGGTGGGAAAGAGAGAAAAGAAAAAGAAAACTCACATCAGGCATCTTGGCTAGTTTTCCTACCTTTCTTCTACTTGTTGCTGATTTCCCCTTTGATGAGGTAGGGGAAGAAGTTTGTTTGGTACCTGATGTTTAATAAAGTGGGATGAGGTTCATGGATAGGCAGTGTTATGATGGTGGTGATGTTGTTTGATGAAGAAATCTAAACTTTTTTTGAGCCAGATGTGCTTCATACTGCACCAAAGACTAACTCTGCATACAAATACTCTGAGATTGTGCTAAATGATGATTATCAGAACAATCAGCCATAAAATAACAAAATTGAAGCTATTAAGAGAAGTATTGTAAATTAAATGTGTATTAATTTTTATCTGTGTTGTTTCATTCACTGTCATTCACTAAGTATACTAATTGTTTTGTTCTTACATGCTTGTCGTGAGACTCAACCTTTACTAACAGTAATGTAGGCTCAACAGCAATTTTCAATCACATAACATTTTTCTCTACTAAATAATGATGTCATATATTTTATTTAAAACTCAGAACAACAACTAGTCTGAGTCGGGGAAAATGAAACCTGAGAAAAGATGTCATAAATGAAGTGGGAGGGACATAGCTAGGTAAAAGTAGTGTAGTGGGAATGTGGGGAACTGGATGGGTGACTATGATTCAAATGATTCTATGTGCCGCAAATTGCTTTCTTCTCTTCTCTTTCTTTTGCTTTTTTTTGTTGTTTTTGGTTTGCCTTGGGCCCTTTAATCCCGGCTCCAGTTGAAAGGAGAAGCACCTTGACTTTTGACCAGTCCATCACCGGCTTTTCCCAATTTCCATGAGTCGTGGATTTTTAATTTTGGAAAAAAAAGAAGAACACTTTCGCTTCATCTGCACCTTTGCTTCATGAGACGATAGCAACATCAAACAGGGAGAGGGGGGGGGGGGGGGGGGGGGGGGAGAGGATGGTAAGTGTTCTCGTTAATCAGAAAGCAGAAAAGGTCGGGGGTATTGGGACTTTGGCATAGGGCTGTTGTTGTTGTTGTTGAAATGATGATGATGATGATGATGATGATGGGAATATAACTTGAGGGTCTGCGGGGTCTGCATCAGGAATGGTGAGGGCAAGGTTGGTGATAATGTGGGAAGGGTTTCAGATTTCATACGGGTCGTGTTTCCCAAGGGAAGTGCACGTCTTGTTAAACACTTCTCGGTTACAGGTGACGTCCCTTGGAGGTATTAGTGGTGCTGATATGAGCGATTGGATTTACTCGCTGGCGGCAGCAGCGAAGAGTTTCTCGTTCTCTTTCTGAGCCATTTCGAAGGCTTCCTTGAAGAGATTCGCATCTATAATGTGGGAGGAGAGGTTATTTAGTATATGTATCGGGGGGTTATGGGGTCAGATAGCAGAAACTCACTTTCACTATTGGCGAAGCGGATGGCCAAAGTCTGTGCTTCAGGTTCGCCCTCACTGACGTCCGCAGCAGCGTTCCACACCCAGCTTCGGTCACTGCCAACATTGGGGGAGAGCTTCATGTCAGGAACAACTAAAGAGGCCGGGATGTCAGTGAAACCACTCCCTGCGCTGCTAATGACGCAGCACAACCACAAAAGTAAAAGTACACAAGGTGGGTTCCGTTTCCAGCACATACTATAATGATTCGCGCAAACCTTCAGTGTCTTATCTCTTCGCATAACCAAACGAGTCTTGCCGTTCTCCTTGTGCTTAAGAAGTCTGACATCGCCCGTTCCACGCTCTTTCCACTCCCGCGAGTTACGGTCGAATCTGAATAGCTTCGCACGCATTTTAAAAATTTGTTCCTCCTGCTCCTCGTTCGTCTTGATGTCGACTGTCTCTGTAAGGCGAACGACGGGCTCGAAGTGGACGTCTGGCTCCTCCTCCTCCTATAAAATAAACACAAAAAAGGTATTCGTATCAGCTAAAACCGCACCATAGCCCCTCCATCCATGGCGAAAATCTTTCCAAACGATCCTCGTAGTAAAAGAAAAGAAGCATTTCATCCAAGATTATTCAACATTGCAGTAGCTTTCCAATAACAGCGGGGAGGAATTTCACATCAAAGCCAGATTATCCAAAACGGTAAAAGGGGCGCGCGGGGGGGGGGGGGGGAACTCCCTCGTCCAACACAGCAAAACATAGTCAAATCCACAAATCCCGACGCTCCAACACAGAGAAGAAAAAAACTCACCACATAATCCTCATCCTTCTCCCTCATCGCTTTCGAGGACCCAGATGGCTCATCGGCCCCGTTACCCTCCTCCTCTCTCCTCTCCTTCTTCGGGCCTCCACCAAACATCGAGAACAAGCTATCAGAAGTGGTGGTGACAGGTTTATCTCCTGCTTCCTTCTTTAGATCACGATCAGCAGCAGCAGCAGGAGTAGCGTCTGCTTGTTCTGCGGCTGGCTTGGGTTCTTCAGTGGAGGTGGCTTCGGCCTTCTTTTCGTCCTCAGTTGCCGCCGCGTTGGTAGCGGTGATGGTAGGATCTTGGGTCTTTGGGTCGGTAACGTCAGACATAGCTGTGTGGTTTGATGGAAATACTACGGGACAGGTTTCTGTTTTTCTTTTATTTTTGCTGCTGCAGTGGGTGTCGTGCGGTGTGGAGGTTAGGTTGAGGGACGTTTGTGGGGCCGTTGTGGTGGTTGGTGTTTGTTTTCAAAAAAAAAAAAAAAGTCAAGATTGGGAATGATGACTTTAGCGAGGGGTTGAAGGTTGATATATTTTCTTTTTAGCTAACGTGTTGTTAGTTAACTATGTTGGGCTGGACTCGGGGGTAAATCCAGCCCACTTGAGGGGGGGCAGGGGAATAGGCTAACCAATGACCTACAGCGTAGCACAATATTCCTTTTTCTCCTTTTTGCATATTTCTTTTCCTCATTTCTTTTCTTGAGCCTGGAGGATTGAGAAGAGAGGGGTAGACAGGTTGCCGGAGATCGCTTGGATTTGGTTGGTTTGTTGGGTGCTGATGTCGGCCCAAAGTGGTTTGACGCCACCATACGGTTAAAATCTAGTTACATTTTCTTCAAGCCATTTGATAATCTCTTACTCCGTATGGAATACTCAATATAAGCTATACATTGCAAATGCAAGATAGGGAGAAGAAATATATAAATTAAAAATAAAGAAACAAAAGATTTTGATTAAGAAAGATAGCTAACGCACTCGGCACCTTCAACCAATATGTTTGTTAGAATAAAAATCAAACACAAAAGAAGGTGAAATGAAATCTCCTCCTTGCCCCTTTAGAACACCAGATACCCCGCGAAATCCTGATCCTGATCCCGTCCTGCCCTGTCCGTCCTATCCATCCTGTCCCACCCCTTCACCATCGCCATCATTATCAATCATGACAATCGTCGTCATCACAAGCATGCTTGGTGCCTGGTGCGGAACCATCAGCTGTGGAAAACACGCGCACACATACACGCTCACGAGAAGAAAAAAAAACTATAGAGAAATACCCCAAAACTCCATCCCGGCAAAACCTTAATTATTGAGATTAAAAAAAAAAAAAAAAAGGGCAAGCTGAGAACACGAGTGTCGATAAAAAGGGAGCAAGACAAAAAGTGGGTGACAAGAAACCAGACCGCAGGAATCGAAGGGAAGAAAGGAGCAGGAAAAGGAGAAAACCCATCATCTAACCCCACCCCCGCATCCACAACTGCGACAGCTATGCCCATGGGCCTTTTTCCCACATTTACTCCGCATCGTCCTCATCTTTCCAAAGTCCCCATTCCCATTCGCATTCGACGTAGACTGCAACCGCTGCCACAAACGAGCCGCCTGTTTCTGCGCGGTAGCCATCCCCTGCGAACTCCTCACCCGCTGCGCATTCTGTGCAAGGCGTTTCGTAAAATTAAAATCATACGCATACGTATAAGAACGCTTATGGTTCTTCAAAAGCCTCTTCGCCTCCTTCTCAACCCCAATCCGCGCCTCATTAGCAACCCGCATTGCGTCCCGATTAACAGTTGACAATTTCTCACGAAACGCCATCGAAGACTTCGTCACCCCGTCACGCATGCGCAATTTTATTTCTTCAGAAACCTTCTGTGACTTCTTCAGTATCGAGTTTGCGGTTTCGACAGCACGCTGCAGCGAGTCCCGGCTTGCCAGTTCGGCTTCCACTCGTATGATGTCACTCATTTCATGGAGGTCAGCAAACATGCGGCTATATACGTCTGAGAGGCTGGCCTGTGCGGCGTTGAGGTCCTTTCGAAGTTTGGAGGAGAGTTGCTGTGCGGCTCTTTTCCAGTTGGCTATTTTAAGCCATGGGGTTCCGAAGTCGACCTCTGTGACCTGCTCGATGATAGGTTTTGTTTTTGTCGCTATAGATATGTTAAGGAGTCCGTATGCATCCTCCCTGGGTAGACGCAGTGCATATACTCCGTCGAAAAGACGTGTCTGCTCAAATGGAATATGCTGATCATCCCTGGTTACCGTTACATCAAACTTTAGATATTTCTGCCGTGATGTAACGCGTGATGGTAGCTTTATGATGATGTGGCAGTCTCCAATAACATGGATCTGGAAACTGCCAGGTTCGTTCCCTTGTCTGTCAGGCGGACTTGTAAGCTTCGAAATGTAAGCATCTATGTCGACGGAATCTTTCTCTGCACAAGCCGGTATGATAAGGTCACGTATCGACTGTGACATTAAAGATGTTTCTGCGGTGTTGGTTGTTGCTGTTTTAGGAGGCAGATAGGTTGCAGCCGAAGCTGGCCCAGAGAGTCGAGAGGACGTAGACATGGAAAACAAATGAGTGTATAGGTTAAGAATCGCTAGAGTCATAAAGTGTAAGAAAAATGCTCCTATTACTACCACGCCAGTGAAAATTGTGAAAATTGCAAGTGTGCCCATTACCGTGTCTAAATCGACTGGGGCGCCAAAGACAACAAACCGGTGAGAGCCATCCGATGAACTCTTCATATCAAGCCATCTTTTCCAGCCTTGAAGTCGCTCCGAAAACTTTCCTACCTTTGGGGCTTCAACCGTTTTGGGGACGGCTCTCGGAGAGGTATGTCCCAAAAGAGATGCGAGATTCCTATTTAATTGTCTGGGTGCAATGCTTTCAAAAGTTTTCAGGTCAATTGGATATCTGTCGACCACTCTGGATTCGCCAGTCTCCTTGTCGCGGGTCTCCAGACAGACGTGTAAACTGCGGTAGTCAGGACGATCCATTAAATTAGCCTTGCTCCAGAGCAGGGTTTCAGAGATAATCATGCATGGTACGCTATGTCTGTCCATGAAGGTACGGCACAAGGAGCGGATTCGTGTTGGTACAAGATTTTCAGTCTGGGGTATAAAGAAGATGGCCAAATCTGGAAGAGTCCATGGGGTATCTGATTGGATTTCGTAGCCCGAGCCGGTCCATGTTGAATTGAGAAGCTCCTCTCGGTTCTTTAACTTAAGGCCAATGGTGACTGGCTTGTGGTCTTCCCTCTTCTCAGTCATCGAGAAACACTCGTCTACGATAAGTTGGACATGGATGGGTAGGAGTTCAGCATAGTTGGGATTGGAACCAGTACCAAAGGATGCGGGGACGACATGGAAACGAGAGAAGTCTTCTGGTGCGGTACTGAAGCCATGGTCAGAGCCTGCAACGAGGACATCTCCCAGCTTATCTAGGACAGTCTGCTTGAACTTCGAGTCGCCGACATATAGAGCACGGAATGGCTTAGTGAGATCAAGGCCATACTTAGCCATGGTCTGTCGGACAGTCAAGGATACGTGGTCGTCACCAAGGTGGTAGGGTGAAGCACGCAGGTAATCTGGGATCTCAGCTTCACTGAATACTTGGACTGTGTGCTTCAACTCGATAGTCTCTTCGGGCCAGTTATCCGGCTCAACAAACTCAATAGAGTCAGACACCAACTGATATGGTGTGTTGATTGTTGTTTCACTATCCTCTAGATTCTGCTCGTGGATATGGCGAGGAAGCGATGGCGGTGGTGGCGGGTCCGAGCAGAGACTCTGCACGTCTGCACTGTCCACCTCATCACTATCATCATCATCCCTCCCCTCGAGACTGGTGACATCGTCAGGAACACTGTGGCCCACCAGTGAGGCAACATCTGTCTGGTCTGAGCGGGAATCGTCCTCAGAATACATATCAGAAGCGCTGAGAGTGGCCCAGCTCTCACTGAGAGAGCTCCCGGGTCGCTCAAACCTATGATTGTCTGACGTCATTGCTTCAGCGTCGGACTCTGAGGACGGAGGAGGCACAGACGGTAGCTTTGGGAACTGGAGAAGCGGCGGGTTAGTATTATTTTGGAGACGATGATGGACACTGCTGGGGAAAGCAGGCTCATGTGAGTCGGGCATCTTTTGGATAGAGATGGGGTGCCAAGGGGTGTAGGGAGAAGAAGAGAGATATGTGGTGGGGTGGACAAGATCGACTAGTTTACTAGTAAACTAACTAGTTAGTTAATTATGCTATGCAGGTTGACTAACCAACTAACTTAACTACTGAAATACTGCATCAGACAACAGTAGCGAGCTGAACCAACCCTCTTAAATCATCTGGAGGAACAAGCTTTGAGAAATCTATGGATATCACAAATAATTATTGTGAATTAATAATTTCAAATATATATCATAAAGTATTAGTTTTATCTCTTCATAAACAAGTCAACAAATTTGAATTGGAGGGGGGGGGGGATTTACCGTTGGAGAGGAAGAAAAATAATTAATATGATGAATTTTTTCTAAAGTTGATCTCTGGGTTCACTAGAGTCCAAGTGTCAAGTAATTCATAATCGGAGAGACTTGATCCATTACCTATGTAGAAATACAGAGAAAGTAGTCCTTAGCAAAATATTGGAAACTCAAGTCACTTGTTTATTGAACTTCCAATTGACCTGCCCGTCATTAATTATACACACACTCTGAAACACAACGTGCGTATGGCCCATGGAAGTGAGGGGGGATTGGACAATTGAAGTAGAAAAGGCAAGAAGAGAAATAATCCATTACATATACATATATATAGAAAACTATATATATAATACTCTTCAATACTCTTCAATTCTCTCCCATTAAGTACTGCTTCAAACCCTCTCTGTATCTGTATCTTTCATCTTCTTTCTCCGCTCTTCTATCATGGTCTTCTTTTCCTTGTCACCCCAATCCCTTCTCTCCCTCTATCTAAGTGGTTATCAACAGGGTTACTGTACGGATATGAACCGTGTCTGTTGCCAAGTGGGGAAAGTTGAGATAGTAGTAGTAGAACTTTAGGGGAGAGGAATGAGAGCTGATGAAGATTAATAAAAAGAAATCAAAACCAAAAAAATCCATCAATCAATCAATGACACCAAAACCAGAAGACTAATGAAGAATATTATATAAGAGGGGGAATACTAAAACAAAAGGACGACGAAAGCGAAGGGAAAGGCGAAAGAACAACCAAAACTACAGCTAGGAAAGCTTCTAAGGAAGAACAAACAGCAGTCCATATGTACAGTTTGTCATAAGTAAAAAAAATAAAAGATGAAGAGTAAAAAAAGGGGGAGAGCGAGGAAGGGGGGGGGGGGGGGGGGGG